CCTTCCAAATTGATCTTACGGATGGTAGTGGCTCGACAACTGCTGTAATTTCTGGTGATCTAGCTGAAAAGATGCTTTCCATGACAGCAGAAGATATATTTGACACAACATGCGCCAAGGTATATAGAAAAATTATTTACTTGTAATTGTTTCAGATGAAGTTGTGCACGCCTTGACCGTATCATTTCTACTACGCAAAATGCCGTCTATATGTACTTATTAGCTTCCATTTACCGAGTATTTTAGACCTTAGGATTGACTTCTTCTACTTCCAGAAACAACTCTTGCCCATTAAGCATGTCCAACACATGCTTTTCAGACATAATCTTTCGCGTTTAATTGAGAAAATCATCTTGGAAAGGTTACAGTAGCATGCATGCAAGTCTATCTGTTTTGTCCTATGTCGAAAAGGAACACATCTTTCAACCCAGTATTGGTGAGAGGAACAAAAATAAAGTCAAACCTCTTGGGTCAACTGAAATAGAAACGGAAACAACAGTTGTGGTATCTGACTATTCCCATGCCGGGCTGAAATTAGAACCATCCACCCCATCAAAAAGAAAGTAAAAGGCATGTCTTCTTGCATAACTGTACTTGAGATTTGATTCTTTCTCCTAGATTCTAAATTGCTTTGATTCAAACATAATGTAGCTTACATTTGCTTATTTCCTCCCACTTCTAACTGCGAATAGGAAGTAGCAACTTATTTTGGGATTTTGGGATTTTGGGTTACTGCACAAAATACTTTTTTGCGTTCTGAGATGAATGGTACCGCCTCCCTGGATAGTGGTGAACGATCATGCACTGGTTATACAAGTATTTTGCTGCCTCAATGTTTCAGATTTACAGGTAGAACAATCTACCACTTTCTAATAAATTACTTTAAATAACTTTCGCCTTAACCACATAAGATTAATTTATTTTAGTAGATATTTCCATCTACTTAAATTTTGATATTTCCTATTTCTATGAATTTTGAGATTTATAGAATGTTAGTATTTGAAGTGCCTCTCTACAGTGTATACATACATTCTTTTCTGGTATGTCTTCCATAACTTCCCGTGTTATTCTGACTACAAAAAATAATTTTGTTGATGAAATAAATGATATGCTTATACATCGACTTCCCAACGATGCTAAAGTGTATACTGCTATTGATGAAACTATAGAACCAAATGATCAATCCCAATTTGAAGTTTTTTTACATACATTACATCCTGCTAACTTACCACCTTATAGATTAACCTTAAAAAAAAAGTTGTCCAGTTATATCATTAAGAAATTTAAATCCTTCTGAAGGGTTATGTAATGGTACGGGATTAATATGTCATGACTTCAAAACGCATGTCATTAGTGCTACTACTGCCAGTGGTGATATAAAAAATAAACATGTATTTATCCCAAAGATACCATTAGTAGCATCACAAGATGAGAACTTACCAGTTCCTTTTAAAAGAACACAACTTCCAATAAGTTTATGTTTCGCTATGACTATAAACAAAGCTCAAGGGCAAATATTAAATTTTGTTTGAATTTATTTGCGTGAACCAATTTTTCACATGGTCAACTTTATGTTGCTTTATCTAGAGCAAAAAGTTCAGAAAACGTAAAAATACTAATACGTCATCCACAGCAGAAGACACAGATGATCACTCTACCTATAACGTAGTTTATGAAGAAATCATCCGAAAATCATTCCCATCTTGATCATTATTCCTTTAATAAATACCATGTTAGTCCTTTCCAGATTTATTTGGAAAGCCCATTTCACGTTGCTGCTTCTTCATTGGATTGAATTAGAATGCGTAATCTGTAATTTCTACGAAAGGTTTGTGACTTATATTCTGTATAAAGATTGGGCTGAGATTTTCCCTTTCTTTTTCCGAATATTAGATGCTAATATTATTACATTTCACTTAATCTTGCAGGTTGTTGTTTACACTGGAAAGCTAAATTTTTTGTTTACTCCACTGACTTACATAATGCTTGATTAGATCTAAACTCCCAAAAACAGGTGCTCTGCAATTGCTACTCTTGCTCTGCTTCGAAGTGCCATCTCTCCGTTTAATGAGTTTTTTTTTGAACTTTTTTCTGCACTTCTCTTTCTTCTCCAGTCGTCGATGTCAGAACCACATGATCTAAGTTCACCTGAAGATGAGATGAAAGAAGCAATTACAGAATCTGAATCTTCAAACAAGAGACAAAATTAAAAACCACCAACACTATCCGAGAAAACAAAGGCACAAAGGTGACACTTGCTCTCTCTCTCTCTCTCTCTCTCTCTCTCTCCTGCTTCTTCATTGCTCCTCCAAAATTTTCCTGTGGTGTTCGCTAGGAGGTGAAAGGAAGAGTTCACTGCTGGAAATGAATTACTCCCAAAGGTATGTACTTATGCTAACAAGATAAAAATTAAATTCTTAATGCAAAAGTGTTGTGTAATACTCCTTTTGTCCAAATATATCTGAAATAATAATATTTCATTTCTCTGATCAGAACTGGTGTCATGAAGATTAGAACACTAACATGAATGCAATGAGTACATATTAAGGAAGATGGATAGGATTCTGTAAACTTACTCCGATCAAGATTATGTTATATATATATATATAGGTAAAAGCTACTGAATTCACATGAACCCATATGTCACACTATGGAACAGCCTCTGCATTGGAAGATTGGTTTTGTATATATTCCTAGATGCTCCTCGAGTTTTATTGGTAAGCTGAACCGAATTGGTGTTATTCTATCTGATAAATGCATACTATATATCTATATGAATTATTTGCTAGCCAGAGGGATTCTAACTGAGGTTTTGAGTTGATATAGGCTCAGTCACATTAATTTTAGGCCAAGATATCTTGAAAATAAAGGCAAAATTATTGACAGGGAAAGGATCAGTCAATTTGCCTTTCAAAGTTCAACAATCCTATAAGAACATTCAAATAAAGTCAATCTAATTGAAAGTCCTTTCAGATTCTTTATATTGTAAGAGTAAATCTTCCTCTGAATAAACTCTTCTAGCGTGCTTTTTTGGTCTATTTTAGTTTTTTTACGTTTATTCCTACATGTTATGTTCGCTCAATGCATTATACTGAGTGATATTATTTGGACTACTTCAATCGAGATGGCACCTTACAATTTTAACATCATATTTTTTTGCACCAAGTATTTAAAAATTTTAGGCATGGACCATCAGATTTCTAAATACCCATATTGTTAAAAAATTGCCATATGTACCCCTATAAGTTTCCTTATATTTCCTGACTTTTAAACTGTTGCTTTTACTGCAGGTGGAGCCTCAAAATTGTTAGATCTTTGTATAAATTAGCTCTTCATATATAGCATGTTGCTTTGCAATTTGCTAGATTCGATGTCGGTGCGGTATTTAGTTTGAACATTAACCGAATTATGTTGTTTATTCTCTGTAATTTTACTTTGTTTGCTATATCGTAATGTATTGTATACCCTTTACTTATATAGCAAATCCAAGTGAGTGTCAAGAGCAGTGCCGGCCATAAGGTAAAGCCATATGAAGCAATGGCTTTAGGAATGCAAATATTTAGGGCCCCATTTTAATTAATAATAGGTTAATTATATGATATTTTTTTAAAAATATATTGAAAATTTATGGTAAAATAGTATATAATAATTTTCTAAAAAAGAGTATTATTTAGCCAATGTGATTTGTGGCGACTAATAGTAAATTTACATTCTAATATTAATATTATTTTTCTCTTTCTCATAATAAAACTTGTATTTTATATTCTTTCTTTTCCTCTTACTAAGTAGTCTATTCTCTAAAAATAATAAGGGGTGAAAGATTATAAAAACATATTTGCATCGGATGTTAATACCAAGCCAATGAATGTAAGAAATTTGTCTTGCATATATAATTTTGTACACTTAATCATGGTTGAGTGATCTATATTTTCACCTTAGTTTGTTCGTTATTTTCTTAAGGTTAAATGCATAGTTAAGTATAAACTCTCAGTGTGAATGAGTTATTAAGGATGAAAAGACATTGAATAAACTAAAATTGCTTCTCTTTTCATTCTTTTCAAGCACTGCAACAACAGTAAAAATTTATTCTGATACTCAAGTTATGGACTAGTAGATTTTGTTGTTCTAACTTCTTATTATTGTTCAAAAATTTATTATTTTGATATTTTTACCTCATAGTAGTATTTTTTTTATTATTGTGACGACCCAAAGGGTCATCACCTGTTTTAAATTAATTCTGTGCTTCCGATACCTTGAAAACCTCATTTAGAGTAGCCTCAACTTGCATGCGCAGTCCGGGCGCGTAGCCGGAAAGCTTAAATATGAAATTCTGTGAAAAATGCTAAATTTTGGTGTTAAAATGAATGAATTTGACTTCGGTCAACATTTTGGGTTAACGGATCCGGACCCGTGATTTGACGGTCCCGGAGGGTCCGTAGGAAAATATGGGACTTGGGCGTATGCCCGAAATCGAATTCCGAGGTCCCAAGGCCGAGAAATGAATTTCTGAGTAAAATTGTTTTCTGAAAATATTTAAGGAAATTGGAAATGAAATTTGATTAGAACGAGTTGGTATCGGGCCCGTATTTTGGTTCAGGCGCCCGGTACAGGTCTTATATATGGTTTAAGCACTTTCTGTAAAGTTTGGTTGAAAACGGACGTCGTTTGACGTGTTTCGGACTTAAAATGGAAAGTTTGATGTTTTATGAACGGAAAAGGGTCTGATATATCCTTGTACTATGGTAAATTGTTTAAAATTATCCCCCGTTATACTATTGGGCCATAAAAGTCCCTACCGTCCAACTATCCTAATAAATCTGCCCTTACTTTGACGGAAGTGTCACGTGGCATCCATCCTTGCCTCTTTTTAAATCTGGGCACATAAGAGAGGACCCGCTCCAACTATACCAACCAACCCATAACCCATTTATAAACCAAATAATACCCTAAAGCCACTGACCAACGATTTATAACCCAAATTAAACCCCAGCCCTAATTTATAATCATGGACCTTGGTCATTTTGGTCAAGACGTGAAAGGAACTGACTTACAAATGATGAGTAATAACCTTACTCTAATGTATCGTCAAATGATTACCAATTCACCATGTCCACAACTCTTTTTTGGTAAGCCATATTGTACGGAAGTTGGACCCAAACCAGGTCAGGGAGCTATTGAAAACATCCCTCATACTCCTGTCCACATTTGGGTTGGTAGTAAGCCTAATGAGAATAACTGTAAAAATGGTGAGGGTATGGGAAATTTCTATTCAGCTGGTAAGGATCCTGCTTTCTATAGCCAGCATGCAAATGTAGATCGCATGTGGACAATATGGAAGACATTAGGAGGAAAACGCAAGGACATCAAAAAGCCAGATTATTTGAACACTGAGTTCTTCTTCTACGACGAGAAGAAAAACCCTTATCTCGTGAAAGTCCGTGACTGTTTGGACAATAAGAAAATGGGATATCATTTCCAAGCAATGCCATCTCCATCATTATAAATTAGGGTTGGGGTTTTTGGGTTATAAATCGTTGGTCAGTGGCTTTGGGGTATTATTTGGTTTATAAATGGGTTATGGGTTAGTGGGTATAGTTGGAGCGGGTCGTCTCTTATGTGCCCAGATTTAAAAAGAGGCAAGGATGGATGTCACGTGGCACTTCCGTCAAAGTAAGGGCAGATTTGTTAGGATAGTTGGACGGTAGAGACTTTTATGGCCCAATAGTATAACGGGGGACAATTTTAAACAATTTACCATAGTACAAGGATATATCAGACCCTTTTCCGTTTTATGAAACTTGGAAGGAATCATGGATTTTGAGACTTAATTCGATGTATATGATGTTATTTTCGCGATTCAATCGCACGGCTAAGTCCGTAGGATACTTTTGAGGTTGTGTGTATGTTTGGTTTGGAGCCCCGAGAGCTCGGGTGAATTTTGGATAGGCCGTGAGTGCATTTTTAACCATTGTGAAAATCTGGCATTTCAGTTCTGCAATCATCGCATTTGCAAAGAAGGTCTCGCAAATGCGAGCCTGTGATCGCAAATGCGAGATAGGGGATCCTGCAGCTGGGTCGCAAATGCGACCATTTGGTCCGCAAATGCGAAGTGGGGCCTGTCGCAAATGCGATACTGGGACTTTCGCAAATGCGACACTCTTGGTCGCAAATGCGAAGTCCCTCCCTTTGCCCAGTGCTCGCAAATTCGAACTTGCCTTTGCAATTCCCATATCAGGTTCGCAAATCCCATATCTGCAACCTGCATATTTTACACTTAGCCGAATTTTGAACCATTTTCAACATTCTTTCAACACACAAACTTCTTGGGGCGATTTTTCAAGAACAAGTTTTCTTCCAAATCAATTGTAAGTTGATTTTTACTCATTTCTTTCAATCATTAACATCATTTAGCATATTTTTAACTTAAAATCAAAGATTTTCATGGGAAAAATTGGGAGTTTTGGGTAGAACCTAGGTTTTTCTAAAAATTGGGGATTTGGACCTCAATTTGAGGTCCGATTTCAAAACAAATCATAGATTTGGGTTCGTGGGGGAATGGGTAGCCGGGTTTTGGTTCGAACCTCGGGTTTTGACCCCGTGGACCCGGGGGCGATTTTGGAATTTTTGGGCAAAACTTTGGGAAATTCATTTTTATGCATTCAAATTGATTCATTTAGCGTTTATTGATGTAATTAAGTAACTTGTGACTAGATTCGAGCGGATTGGTGGTGGAATCGAGGGGTAAAGCCATAATTGAGACTTGAGTTGAATTCAAAGCATTGAGGTAAGTGTTTGGTCTAAGCTTAGCTTGAGGGATTAGGAGTTGAGTCATATTTGCTATGTGATAATTGTTGAGTACGACGTATAGGCATGGTGACGAGTATCTATACGTTGGTGTCAAGTATGACCGTGAGTCTTATATTGCGATTTTCATGGTTTCGTTGTATTCTTCATGCTTTGGTGATGATTCTTAGTTGTTGTGAAAAGTTTGTGGAAGGAATTGAGACCTTTGAACGTTTTGGAGCATTGGCTCGAGTTATATTATGAATTGTGAAAGTATATGGATGATTGAACCCTTTGGAGCATTGGCTCAAGTGGTAAAGTGAGTTATGAAGTACAAGTGAAAGATAGAGAAAGAGTTATTGAAATGTTCCCTTGCCAGGATTGAATTATTTAATTGTTGTTCCCTTGTCGGGATTCAATTGTTAAATCGTTGTTCCCTTGCCGGGATTCCTACATGTTCTTGTTTATTTCCCTTGCCCTTGTTTGTGATTGTTGTTTGGGTGAGGAAAGAGAGTAAAAGCACGAAGGGTGATGTCGTGCACGTTTTCATTATATTATTGCTTGGTGAGGACGAGAGTAAAAGCACGAAGGGTGATGCCGTGCACTTGTCTTTGATTTTCCTGATTCTTGTTGATAATTGAGTTATGTTGTCCTTTACTTTTATTTACTGACTTTCTTGTTGTTATCGGTTCCAGTGCACTAATTGTCTTATTCCACTATTACTTTGATCCTTTATGTTGGCATTTTCCTTTATTGTGTTACTTGTTATTATTGGCTCGAGGTATCCTTGCAACATTTTGCCTTGAATTTATGCTATAATTGCTACATGTTTATGTGACTTAATTGCTACTTGACATTTAGCATACTAAATATTAAATTGCCTATTTGCTCCTTAAAGTCCATAATTAAATTGTTACTTGTCATTACTTGTTTTCCTCAGTGAGTCATAATTATTGTGTACTTGTTGTCATATGAATTCGTATTAATTGTTGTGTTTGTTGGAGTAAATTGCATTTGGAAGAACTGTTAACTTAATGAAATGGGAGCGGGTGGTACGCCTACCACGGGATACAATGAAATGGGAGCGGGTCGTACGCCTACCACAAGATTTAATGAAATGGGAGCGGGTGGTACGCCTACTACGAGATTTAATGAAATGGGAGCGGGTGGTACGCCTACCACGAAATTTTATTAAATGGGAGCGGGTGGTATGCCTACCACGAGATTTAATGAAATGGGAGCGGGTGGTACGCCTACCACGAGATTTAATGAAATGGGAGCGGGTGGTACGCCTACCACGAGATTTGATTATTGAGAAATGGGATCGGATTGCACGCCTGCAACGAGATATGTACTGATAGTGAAATTTGCATTTATTTCCCTTATCCGTGTTAAAGTTAAATTATTGATGTTCTTTATTATTTTCTTGAAAGTCTGTATTATCTGCTACCCCCGAAGCATGTTCCCCTCCCTTTTAAAATGTTTGTTCTTGTTATTTCCCCGTTGTAGATATATATATAACTGTACAGGTTTTCGTGGTAGTCCTGTCTCGCCTCGTCACTACTTCGCCGAGGTTAGGCTAGGCACTTACCAGCACATAGGGTCGGTTGTGCTGATACTACACTCTGTGCTCTTTTGCACAGACCCAGGTCCCGGACAACAGCAGTAGCTCGGGAGCCAGCCTTCAGTTCACTAAGACACCGAGGTAGCCTTACAGGCGTCCGCAGGCTCGGCGTCTCCTTTATTTTTATTTATGATCTGTTATCTCTTATATTCGAGACACACAGTGTTACATTCTTTCAAACGGTTGTATGTAGTGAATCTTAGTAGTCCGTGAATGTTGTGACACCAGTTCTGGGTAGAGGCACATGTGGATTTTTTTCTTATTATTTGGTTTATATCGTTTAAGTCTTCCGCTAAATTATAGATTCCGCTGTTGTTTAATTATTTATTTCCCGTTAATTAAATTGGTAAAAATGGATTTTAAACAAAAGCATTTATGGATTCTAGATGTGTGGCTTGCCTAGCTTCTACGAGTAGGCGCCATCACGACCCCCGAGGGTGGGAAATTCGGGTCGTGACAAGTTGGTATCAGAGCTCTAGGTTGCATAGGTCTCACAACTCATGGACAAGCTTAGTAGAGTCTGAGGGATCGGTACGGAGACTTCTGTATTTATCCCCCAGAGGCTATGGAGTTAGGAAAACTTCACACTTGTTCTTTCCTGTCGTGCGGTTTTGTTTCTCAAATGCTAAATTGAAACCTCTACTCTTGTCCCTTCACGAATGGCGAGGTCATGTACCGCTTCTTTAGCTGAGCAACAGCACAGGCCAGTGTTAGATCAGTTACGTCTTCGGAGGCTTTGTGGAGGTTGGATAAGTTTCACCAAGCTCTTCACTACTACATTCAGCAGTGCGTCTACTGAGGATCCCCAGGATTATCAACACAGCTGTCATGAGGTTCTCAGAAATATGGGGATAGTTGAGACCAATGGGGTCGATTTTGCTACCTTTCGGTTGTCTGGATCCGGCAAGACCTGTTGGAGAGATTATTGATTGGCTATACCAGTTAGGTCACCAGCTTTGACTTGAGAACAGTTCCCGCAGCTATTTCAGGAGAAGTTTCTCCCCATCACTCAGAGAGAGGTCTATCGGAGGCAGTTTGAGCGTCCCCAGCAAGGTTTTATGACTGTTACTTAGTACGAGGTCAGATTCATCGACTTGGCTCGTCATGCTCTTATCATAATTCCCACCGTGAGAGAGAGTAAGGAGGTTCATTGAGGGACTCGTCCAGCCCACTTAGTTAGCTAGAGGTGGAGGTAGAGGTATTAGAGGCGGAGGTAGAGGTATTAGAGGTGGAGGTAGAGATGCTAGAGGTGGAGGTAAAGGTATTAGAGGTGGAGGTGCATGTATTGTTCTGGTTTGTGATAGATATGCTTCAGTGTTGTTTGATCCGGGGTCTACATATTCGTATGTGTCATCCTATTTTGCCCCGTATTTGGTCATGCCTAGTGATGCATTGGGTATTCCTGTTTATGTGTCTTCGCCGGTGGGTAATTCTATCGTGGTCGATTGAGTCCATCGTTCTTGTGTTGTGGTGATTGGGGGTTTGGAGACTCGTGTAGATTTGTTGCTTTTAGATATGGTCGACTTTGATATTATATTGGGGATGGACTAGTTATCACCCTATCACGCTATCTTGGACTGTCATGCCAAGACTGTGACCTTAGTTTTACTGGGTATGCCTCGTTTAGAGTGGAGAGGGACTCTTGGTCATTCTACCCATAGTGTTATCTCTTATGTGAAGGCTCAACGTATGGTCGAGAAGGGGTGTTTGGCCTATTTAGCATATGTTCGTGATTCTAGTGCTGAGGTCCCTTCTATTGATTCTGTGCCCGTTGTTCGTGAGTTTCCTTATGTTTTCCCTTCAGACCTGCCGGGTATGCCACTCGACAGGGATATTGATTTCTGCATTGATTTGGCTCCGGGCACTCAGCCCATTTCTATTCCGCCGTATCGTATGGCCTCGCCTGAGTTGAAAGAGCTAAAGAAGCAGTTGCAAGACTTGCGTAAGAAGGGTTTCATTAGACCCAGTGTTTCGCCTTGGGGTGCGCCGGTGTTATTTGTTAAGAAGAAGGATGGGTCAATGAGAATGTGTATTAATTACCGGCAGTTGAACAAGGTTACAATCAAGAATAAGTATCCATTGCCGGGGATTGACGA